TAGGGTCCGACAAATTCTATACAGGTAAAAGCGACTGCGCCAAGGAGAAAGACCTCATTATCGCCATAAGAATTTCGTTTATTTATGTCATTCTACAATTTAATGGACCCTTAATCGCGCTTACCTTTTGAGTGCTCAGTGCGTTGAAAGTCCATTTTGCAAAGTTAAAAATCTTTGATATACGATTTTTCAAAATTCTACTGCATTGAAGAAAAGCCAAGTCATCATGATTTTTCGTAGATTCTTATCCGAATGTCAGCTGCAGTTCTTTTAAAAAATGCGATGAAAGCATTAGTTTCCTTGAGCATTAAGAAGATTTCGTCAATTAATTTCCCAAACACATCCTCAGTACACCAAGTGTCGCCTTACATAAAATTATGATAATATCAGCCTGAAGACCCGGTAAATGTAAATTTTATAATCAGATGAAAATGACTCTTAACTAATCATTGACTATTGTATTATAGATTAATAGTAACCTATAAGAAGTATTTTCATCCTGATTAGATTTGAGGTTCTGCCTCGATTCCTCGTTTTATCAGCACTCCTAAGTGGAATTCGAAACCGGGTCTTAAGCTTTAAGCTGCCCAACGTTGCCACTACGCCACAGCTACAGGTGCCAGAAGGGTTGTTGCAGGAGAGATGTGACATACAGGGTAATATTAAATTTATATTGGATTTGTCAATATGACAAACTTATAGTAAGCATTACAACCAACCACGTTTATTATAACCATATTATGTTAATCTCGACCTTGAATTAGAACTGAAGTCAACCCAGGTAGAATTGAGGGGATTAAATGAATGATACCTAGAGCCCATCCTGAATAAGAATGTCTTTTTGCAGACAATGCTAAGTGAATAGGTAGGCTTTACAACTACCAGTAGATCTTTAATAAGAACTGTATCCCCCCTTGGTCGCCTACTATGAAGAAGGATTAAAAATGAATTTCCTCACAATGACATTGACAGAACTCACGTTTTCATTGAATTTTACTTATCCGTGTTTCCCCCCAACTATTCCAATCCAGGCTGGACAGAACTACACTCAACCTTGCCTGGGTCTCAATGAGCCAGGGGACTGCAGTTTATAATCTCGACATGTAACCACTATGCCATACTGCCACGGGTGCTAATGGCATACAGGGCAGACATGAAACTCAGGGCTTGCTAAGTCTCTTCCATATCACATCTTTA